TTATACGTGGAGAAGGAGAAAACCAAATATTATTCAAAGTAGAATTGACTACTTCTTGGTGAGTGATACACTTCAGCAAGACATTATAACAACTGAAATAATATCATCGATTGCCTCTGATCATAATACAATTACTTTAGTACTCGAGTATGATCATACACCATACGGTCCATCCTACTGGAAATTAAACAGTACTTTAATAAAAGATGCTAAATACATCGCTCAGGTCACAAAAAATATTCCAATGTGGATTCAGAATTATGAAAATATAAAAGATAAAGGACTCAAGTGGGATTTAATTAAATATGAAATAAAACAATTCTCCATGGTCTTTAGTAAGAAAAAAGCCAAACAAAAACGAGAATATATTCAAAAACTTGAGAACCAAATGTCAGAGCTAGAAATCAAGCTAAATATAGAACCAATTGAAGAGAATTATGAAGAATTGGAAAAAGTCAAAAGTAAACTTGATATGAACACGAATACATAACAGAGGGAGCCATTATTCGATCAAGGGTTGCATGGTATGAAAAGGGTGAGAAGAATAATAAATACTAGAGAAATGGAGAGGGAAAAATCGAATATTACTAAAGTTAGATCTTCAAAAGGAATAGTTACCAACCCAAATGAGATTTTAAAAGAATTGAAAGCATGTGATGATAGTTTTGAAGAATTAAATACAGACCAGTATTATTTTGACAACGAACATATTATTTATATTTCCAAAATTACAAAACTGAAAATTAAGAAAGTTCTGCAAAGTCAAAATGACTCTGTTCCTATCAGTGAGAGCTACTATGAAAGAAAGATTGAACTAACTAGAGATTGGAAAGCCACATATAACTTGCCATTTAGAGTGGCAATAGATGTTAAGACCAGAGAATTTCAGTTCAGATTACTCCACCATATTTTATATACTAATTATGACCTAAAGAGAAGGGGGTACAAATATCTGAATTGTGTACATTCTGTGGAGGTGAGAGTGAGACACTTGAACATCTCTTCTTTTCATGTGATGCAACAAAATTATTCTGGTTAAAGTTTCTCCAGTGTTTCAGAGATGCATTAGTAATGAGGGAAGTGCCAACTCTTGGTGAAATTTTATTTGGGGGAAGTGACTTTGTCTAGGTTGCACAATCACTTACTGCTTCTGCTAAAAGACACATTTATCTTATGAAAATGAGAAACCTAAAACCCCACTTTCCATTTTTTCTAAACCATGTCAAGTATAACTATCATATTGAATACAACATTGCTTTGAACAAAGACAAAATTGAAATACACTGTAATAAGTGGATTAAAATCTACCAAATTGTTATGTCTTGAATGCACTTGTATATTAGTCTGTATATGTACGCAGTGTATTCTGCTTACTGATGTATTATGAATGATTACCAATAACAACTTATAAATATAAAAAGAAGTCCATACAATTTAGATAAATAATTGAGAAACCTTTAAGCACGACAATATATGTTAAATATTTTTTGCTTTTGATATTTTTAATTATTTTTAACTAGCTACTTCCCAAATAAATTAAAATCCATACTATAAATACCAATCAAACATGAAGCTGAAAAAAAGAATATTTCGAATAAACACTTAATAAATATAAAGTCAACAAAATTGTTTTGACATGTTGAATATCATATACATAATCAACATCTTGCATGATTTGAGTGTATAAATATTTCGTCGTCTGTATCGTGCAGTTCATCTCAGCCAAGCTTTCACATGAGATTCAAGACCAGTAGTCACGTGATAGTGTCAGTGGTTTGCAGTCATTGGCGGGTGACGTATTGCCTCACTGTCATCTAAGTGTATGCCTTATACATACACCATTGCTTTCGGGTGGTTTTAAAAATCAAGATTGACTATTTGTAAAATTCTGATATGCATTCTTTTGATTCAAGTCGCCCAGTACCTCTCCAGTGTAAGTGTTTTTTGCTTTTCTATGCTGTAGCATGATACTGGATTAAGAATCAGTCGCATGTTTTACATTTTGTTAACAGTTTAAAAGTGGCAATACAACTCAAAGTTAACATTTTATAGATTCTGTCCAATAACCATTTTTATTGCGGGATAGTAAAACTTCATGTCGTGAAAAGAGGCACTTTTAAGCATGGATGCCATGGATATGGTTGAAGACATACAAAGATCTCTACCACATTTCAGATCAATCAGTTGAAACGCTAATTGTAAACATAACAGTTCAAAATTCAAGCATTTGTTGTTGGTTTGTGTCTATGAGAGCTGAATTCAGTTGATGTATGCAGTATATATGGCATGTCGGCTCTTATTTTCATCAATTAAACCTAAGCTGTCACATGCCTTTTTCACTATTTCTGTTTACAAAATTGATGAATAACAGGAATAAAAGAAATCTATCAAAGTTCTCGGATGATTGACTTATAATTTGGCATACATCATTCATATCTGTAACACCGAGATTTTAAACTAAGTTTACAACTAATCGCAAAGTTTAGTTTTACGGGAATAACTAAAATTCTTCAACAATCTTCTTTACAAAAAGTTTTTGGCCAATTAACACGAAATTGGTACGAAACAACCGCATCCACCATTAATAGTTGGGGACCCAAACGTCTTTCCTCTATTAAGGGATCTGACTTTTGCAGCCATATTAGATTTACCTTCTCTAACAATGTAAATTACAATTGATTCTCTTCAACCACTAATCACATTGATATCAACATTGGCTTGTATTGTCTGTGCATGAAGTAAATTAGTTTTTAAACACAAGCAGATAATTAACTCGCTAAGAGTGGACGAGATGCTTCCCTCAGATAATTTGCGAATTTATCTTCACAATGAACATCAGCTTCATCAGAAAATTTTGAAATGTTTAATTGTTGTCTGGTAGACTGATTTACAACACGATTAATAAAATAATGTTTTTCGAAATACATTGTCATTATTACACCATGCAGCATGTTGAGTAAATACTTTCTTTGTACATAGTATTAATAACTGGAATATAATGAAAAGCTAGTACATGTAGCAAGCTAAAGAACTCTGACCAGAGCCAAATTTACTCTTGTCTGTCAATTTTGCACTTGATATTTTTGTGAAAAAACAACATTTTCAAATAAGCATGTGTCAATGGACAGAATCTGCGCCACATATATGTTAGACCAATCAGTGACGTTATGTAGTGCACTGAACCAATAGTAATCACGCAGTGACTGCTTGTTACATTAACTAATTAGCATGAAAGTGAGTGTCCACTATTTGACACATATTGCTATATATGGAGTAATACAGTATATGTTTTAATGTTAAAACTAATAGAGACAATGAATATAAAGAAAATAGGCATTGACTTATGATGCCAAAGAATTGAAAACAAATATCAGATATCTACATTTTCTAATGCAAAACGATATGCTAATAATGAAATAATAATGGAAAGAAATTAAAATTTCAGTTACATTATACTGGCACATAAAAACGTTTCCACTTAATAGCGACGGCAACAATGAAACGGAAGCAACCACATTATGAACAAAATTCCATTCCATATACAAAACGTTTTTTTCTATTTCACTCACAATGTCTATATTTTTTTGAAAAAGGGCTAAATGAGTAAATATTTCCCAATGTATCATAGACAATAGACATAGAAAATATACACGTCAACACATCGCCATCGACTTGTTTCGAGAGTTGACCCTTTACCTCTCCAACCTCGCATGTATATAACAGTTAAACCGACCTAAATTTGACGTATAAATTGAGGGAATTAATGTGATAAGTGATTTCAATATTAAGATGGCGATAACATAATATTTTTATTAGTGCACTGTGTTCTGGAATGTTAAAGGTTAAATAAGATGGCATTTCATTTTGCTCTAATATCAAAATCATAACCATGCTGAATTCAATATTATAGCAATGACATTGAGAAAATGGGTTGTTTGATAATACAAGTGTAATACAAGATTTTATAATGCCAAAGTTAATTTGCAAAATCTTTGACATAGATCCTCATATTTCACTTCTAACAAGATACGTTGATGATGTAACTGTAATTTAAAGAAGAAAACTAAGACTATTACAATTGGAACACATTACCCAGGTAAATAAAAAAGTCAATTAAGTTAAAATAGTCTCCGATATATTCGATTAATAGGACTTATAATGGTACAGTGAAAATAATTTACACATATCCGTGGATCATTAAACAGTCACCTAATACAAGTTCATGGACACAATGCAATAACAACCAACATGTGGATGTGGTATTTCAAAATAAGTTAGCACATTCTGTTCATATGCAGCCTATAAGGTGCATCAAAATGTAAAATAAAAGTGGTACACGCATGATGCATCGCTCGATTGGCATGGTTTCACTGAAGCCGACCTTCCATGACGAACTGCTGAATAAATGAACCTAGGAAGGCGAGGATCTCATAATGCTACCGATACCAACAGAGCTATACAAAGAAGTGGAGTTCTTTAATTGTTCTGGGCTGAACCATTATATTGTCCATGCCTACGACTACAATGGATATTCCCAAAATACATGACATCCCCTTATGACTTTCTTTAAACTGATGTAACCCACCCTATATTCGCATCGGAGTGACACTCCCAAAATCCCCCCCCGCCATACCGCCAATTAAGTCATTCCAAAGAGCCTTTACGTTGCTGAGGTCACCTTTACAGTATACATTAGGTATAACTCTATAACTGTATGGGTGGCACAAGAGTGACATGTTTTGACTTCAAATTGACCTTAAAAAGTATTAGTTATTTATCCAGTCTTGTCATTGTGTAAGTGTCAATACACGTCCGATTTGAACCTCTTAACCAGACTGCATTGTGGCAAATGTACTGGAACTGGGCCATGAAAACATTTACATATGACATTTAATGCAGCCAGCCCAATTACATGTTTTATCTGTTTGCCATATGTAAGTACCACTCATACAACGTACTCAAGAACATACACAGGGTAGCCTTGAATGACGAAGATCAGCATGGAGAGACGTGAAGGTAAGTATTCGAATGTATTGTGCAGTTACACTGTCAACAACTTTAGCTCCCATGGCGTGTGATCCCAGCATTCTCGGTTCACACCTCTGTCTTGGACAGTGTCTGAAGCTTCTCAGTATGGCTGACCACAATCCAAACTAACGTTAAAGTAAAGACTACTATACATGCCACACCCACTTTTGTGATATATTATCTTGTTCGAAAATGTATTTATGTAACATAACATTTGTTATAATGTTTCTGAACAGATTACTCCCGGAGATATTAATCCGCCCATTTTGTTTTTATACGTATTTGCAACACCCACAATTGCTTCATTTGCATATTACAGTGATTACCCACAATCCTATTAAAACAAGAGCTATGGGTGGTGTTATTTACCCTTCTTGGCCCACATGACTTGTGTACTATTGTGCAAAGTGTATTATGTAATTTTACCTACACGAGTTCATATACTATTTTTTCAACCTGAAGCTTGTGTATATGAAATTATTAATAGCAAATGATGTCATTTTGGGAGATTTCATTCTAAATGTTCTATGAACATGTTAGGTATTCACTCAAGCCGTGTAATGTCAATTCCACTTGGTATAGTCTTTTCGCTTTCCTCTCGAATTGGCTGCATAGGTTTCACCATCACTGCTAATTGGTGGCCGTGACTTTGGTTGGCTGAGAAATAAAGTTTGGTGATATAACCAAAGTGACGCTTTCAGTCATCTGGAAATCAGAATCTCCATGCATAAAAATATTTACCGACCAATGCCTAATGTAATGAATGGAATACAATAGAACACAAAGTTTCTAAGTATGCAAATATCACAGCTCATTCTTCAAGATGTTGAAATTCACATTGAATCAGTCGTTGATATTTGGGGTATATATAGTTGATAGTTGATATATAGAGTGCATATTGTTGTTGAGCAATTTTGTTTGTATTTTTCAAAATAAATTGCCCGTTAACTTAAGCGATAGGTGAAATCACATGTCTCATTGTGTATACACAAATAGCATAACCCTCTTGTTTTTCACACACATCCCACCCAGATAAATAAATGACCATTCCCCTATACAATATGTTAATAGTGCATAGAATATGCACAGTGATCACTACCCTTCCAAGTCATTCTTTAGATTCTCAACATATTGTGCTATCACTGCCGACCAGACAGGATAGGACACTATCCTTTAGATTCCTGACACATGTTTTGTTCCCAGATAAATCTAAATGTTCTACACTCTGCTTCAAGAAATGGATATTAGATAATCTTCTCCTGATACTGACTTTGATTGGAGTGGTTGTCGGTTTCATCCTTGTTCCTATACTACAGGTAAGACATTTCAGTGGAGGGCAAATTGGTTGCTATTTTGTAAGTATTTTTTTTCCATATTGAGTCAAACATTTGTTTAAGTTAACAAATAAATATGACGTCGGGATATTCTTGGTACGCATATAATCAACAGCTGTTAAATTAATTCTCTTAATGAAAATTAATATTATATTAGATATACGCTCACGCATTGACCCGACATTTTTTTTAATTGTATGCGAAGCCTTTGGACTTCCGTGTTCAGATAATTACAAAATATTAAAATTAGAGAAAAAAAAAAAAAAAATAACAAAATCACACACCAGCAGAATATAGATTATATTATGCATTTGTTCAGTATTACAATACATGTTCCAAGTTGATATACTCAAGAAAATATCGGTCAATAAATATCGGAAACAAGTGGTATAGCTGCGTCACATTTTGATTAAATAACTGTACAACCTTGAGTGCGCTTTTACTTAGTGGCACGTTTCAGTACACGTGCGGCTACGTAGAATTTTTCAGCAAACTAATACTGTTTTATATGCTATAAAAACAATTTTCAGTTCACGATAGTTCATCATCTATACTCGTCTTGCCCTCCTCATGTATATATAATGTGAACAGCCATTGTTGTGTTTATAGTATTTGCGTTCGTTGTTAAAAGCGGACCCGTATATGGGTCATGCGATTCACCTAGCCTAAAACAGATCATCAGATTCTATACTCTTTGACAACATGGTTCTATTTTATGCTGCTGTATACAATTCGGTTACGTATGTTGAAAACAAATTTCATACGTAGTACTGCTATTCGTCAAAGTATGAATACGCGACGAGGCTAATTACAGCGCCCTCAACATGGTAAATAACGCAAGCTTGACGGGTACTCATTACATTAATATGAGAATGGGTTGTCGAGACGGATACACGTTTTGCGTGATCTTATCAGCACACTTACGGGATATTTTATTTTTGCGGTCAAATTGACTGTTATTGAGGCATGGTTGCGTCGCCATGCTTGCTACTACTGTACGCATATGCAAATATTTAGAGAGGGTGCGTTCTACAATCCAATGAACGTCCTGAAAAAAATATATTTAATGCTCTACCAAAACAAACTTTCATATTTCATCTTTAAATTTAATTCACGGTGAATCGTTATAAATCATCGTTAATCTGTGCTGGTAACGTCATGGTAATTACATGTAGCAGTGATGTACGTGTAACTATTAGAATTGCTAGTTTGTCGAGCGTGTTAACAACGAAATGTTTTTATCAAGTTATAATTGTTTTGCAGCCTTTGGATCTCTCCGATAACGCCATTATGTGGATTGCACTACCAGGTGAATTGTTTATGCGGGGACTCAAGTGTATGGTTATACCGGTACTTTCAACAAGTGTTATTACAGGTAATACGATATAACGCATTGGATATGTATACCCTGTCATAGCAACTTTCCACGGTGCCATTTTAATTATAGGATATTTACATAAAATTGTGTATTATGTAGTTTATGTCCATTTCATTAAACCACAAGATATTGGGGTTGTGACAATGGTATTATATCGGATGGCGATAATTCGTCTGGATCCTCCCTACTTCCGAACGGAAAACCGAAACGATCGCCAATATTGAATATTCTTGATTATATCTTCTCAAAACGCAATGAAATAGATCTCAGAGTTTGAAAATTCCAGTAACCCTCATTGCAAAAAATAGCAGATTATATCAGAAAGGAATATTCAAATACATATCACTATTGCTATATTATAATCAAACATATCGACGAGGCGTCATTCTAGTATCTATATTGTCCTTCGACAGCGACAGCGTCACTGGAACCAAAGTCTAACGGTAAGATGAGCGGTGTTAGCTGTGCCTATATGGGCAGTATGGTATTCTTTGGTGTAGTCGTGGGTATTATACTAAGTGTAACAATACAGCCCGGTAACGTCGATTCTGACATCACTAGTTTCGACTACAAACCTGCATACTACGAAACCCAGGACGTGATTGCCGACTTGTTTAGGTTAGCCTTATTTCCATATTCGAATATTATAGCTAGAAGGTTTAGTTATGTTTCTCTGCACTCTGAAATTTGTAGATTTAAATATATTTCAGTATTTTTGATGATGATGATGATGATGATGATGATGATGATGATGATGATGACGAGTTATTTTTATTGTCTCGGGGGTGTATGTGATGAAAAGAATTGGGAGTGTCAATAACAATAATATATTTAAATGTTTCAGGAATATGATACCAGATAATATCATCAAAGCTTGTGTACAGTCTGTGAGTATACCTATAGAGAATGATCTAAACTATATAAAAGCTTTCAGAAAGTATATACATTCTTAGAGATAACTTGAATAACTGACCCAATATTGTACATATATTTTCCAGATACGCACGACATATGAGTTTCAAACCACTGACAATAACGGCACTAATACAACAGAGCAAGTACTGTTGTCCAAATCGACGGACTATGGATTTCGTTCAAACTTACTTGGTAAGAGCACTGGGAAATATTAGGTATTCAATGGTAAGATGGCGGCGTCACATAGTATAACTCTAACTGCGCATGCTTGCTTCGTATTCATACGAGCTGTTCAGCTAAATCGTGGGTACGCATCCCTGAAAAAAAATCGGGTAACTAAATACACATGTCTGTTTCACGGTTTGTCTGTGTGATAGTTAAATGTGTAATCAATGTATAATAGGGAATGAATGCCTGGACTAAATTTGTTTCTATGCGATTTGTTCACATATAAAATGGGAAAGCCTATAGTGTTATTCTTTAAAAATCATCCCAAGAAACACATTTACCTTGTGAACATACAGTTTAAGACCCTTCAAAGAAGCGATCTGGTCCAACCCATCAAACTATGTATCTCTTATAAACCAAATAATACATTGATGTTTCATATTATATTCATTATGTGTTATGAACACGGAATAAAAATATTTAAGTCAGTAGTTATTAACATTACTGGTGATTTGAATACTGTCTATTTTTGCATGATATTTATTACAGGGGTTCTTATATTCTCTGCTGTATTTGGTGCAGCCATGTGTTTCCGAAAAGAAGAAACGCGCACTATGTTTCAATTCATGTGGGAACTTCGAACGATTTCGATGGACATACTTACAGTATTCCTGTGGTATGTTGGAATCAATTACGTTTCTTCATTATATTTTGGGAATTATAGTGTCTCAGTTGACTTATGTGAAATGTGAAACAGACCGTGCAGTCTTTCTTTGAATCCATAATATTTGCTAAAATGTCACCGCAGATTATCATCCCTTTGAATATCCTCAATTGGAAACCGAGATCACGTCGAGAACGAGATAGAGACCCCCCATGACCATGGTATTTGAAACAGGGGACGCGATGGAAGAAGAGGCACTATTTGATGAGCAAAATCAAATCAATCAAATCAATCTCGCGGTTATCTCGTTCTCAACGAGATCTCAGCGTCCATTTGTGTCCAAGGTGTATTTAGAAAATGAGAAAAGCTCTAATTTGAAAAAAAAAATGACGACCAGAATTTGTCGGGGCCATATATTACTCTGGAGTGTATACATCCATATTTAATAGCAATCTGTTAACTGATCATTTCACCTTCATGACAACATTTCACTCATCATTATTATTATTACTCACAGGGCATTACCAGTCGCTACAGCTAGTCTTATCTGCAATTCTATGATTCGAGTGGATGATATGGCAGTCGTGTGGGAAGCTTTGGGTAAATTTGCTGGCACCGTCATAGCAGGACTCGCCATTCATATCTTCATTACCGTCTCATTGACGTTCTTCATATTGACGAGAAAGAACCCGTTTCGTTTCCAATTTCGATGTCTTAAAGCTACTATCACAGCAATGATTACAAAAACCAAGTAAGTTTTTTTAACGATGGAATGACTGGCAATTGTCTTACAAATAGAGAGTTTTGCTCAGAGGAAGAATTCGAAACAAGTACAAGTAAATGAAATAGATGTGATGGTATACAATTCAAGATAAAATTACATGATATACATACTAAAAATAATCTAAGGAATCGTATATAACACCAACAAAAATATAACGTTGATGTTCCTTTGTTCCCTGTTTGCTAAATTAACGTTTTATTTTTTGTTTTGCCCCAGTGCTGCCATTCTACCGCTGATATTTCGAGTCTGTGAAGTCAACAACCGAATCAACAAAACTGTCAGCAACTACGTGGTGCCGTTGAACGTGGCTTTTAAGACTGATGGTTCAGCTCTGTTCATCGTCAGCGCTGCTATGTGGTTAGCTCAAAGTGAAGGAATGTCCTTAAACGCTGGACAAGTGGTTACCATGGGGTAGGTTGGTCAGGCTCTTTCGCGTGTTTGGGAAGTATACGATAGACATTTAAAGATTGCTAAGACAATCAGTGATTCACAATAACTCATTCGAAAACATTCCTGAAGTTTTCGTGATTATTTTGGGATTAATTATTCAATTTGTGTGTACTATCACCTCCATCACGTGTGTGGTTTCGCTACTAATATTCTATACCCCCAAAGTAAACTTGCATACAGCATGTTGTTTATTTGTTTTGTTCAATAAAATAGCTTTCGCTTTTCCCGCGATGTTTTTTTTTAATGGGGCTCTCGAGCAATGCTTCCATGGAAACAATGATTGTAGTTCCTATTGCCTAACGATAACAGACCATTTTAGTCTACGTGTGTGCGAAGCATGCAAGGGAGGCAATAAGTTTGGCATGTTGGTGTGTCTGTTTAAGAAATGCGTCAAAACCTCTGAGTGGATTTTGATCAAATTTACTACGTAGGTACTTCGGGGTAATACGCAGACATAATTAGTTTTGGGGCTATATTAAATAGCTAATTTACATATGAATTATTTCATTTCAGCCTTTGTAGGCAAAATCGCAAAAGAAAACGTCCTCGTGATTACATGCGTAGAAGTTTGGAGATATTTAAGCTGTAATTAACAAATAGTATCCACTGTTTTTTTATATTGCATTGGATTGTTGCCGTTTAACTACATGTGCAGTTAAAGCGTGAAGGTCGTCACCTGCGCACGCGCAGGTGGCGCTCCCCCGATTTAACATTGCCGACAGTGGCAATATATTTACTTATATGTTTTATTTCCTCGTTTTTATTTTTTAGATCAAGTTACTATTTGTTTGTTTGTTTGTTATATCACTTTTAGAATTGTGTCCTGGATAATGGGTTTGAGTCTCCCAGCAGTGCCAAGTGCAAGTCTTGTTGCCGTGGTTACTGTATGCAGCTCAGTTGGAATCCCTTCGTATAATATCGGTCTGTTGATTTCCATGGAATGGCTATTGTGAGTATTATGTTTCGCATAAGTTGCATAACGTGTTATATCGATGTAACCATTACATATGCAAATTATTGTTAATAATATATTCCTTTTTTTTCAGAGATACTCTACGAACTGGTGTTAACTGTTCCAGTCATTGTTGTTGTGCCGGCATAGTTGATAGCATAATGAAAAAAGGTGGTGTAGATAGTCGAAATATCGATGACCAGGACCGGGTTTCTAACGAAAAAGTGACAATGGATGTCATCTGATTAAATTAAGGACGTTAGAGAAAAGAAAATTACACAGGAATGATTATAATAACAATATATATGTGCATAATGCAATATTAATAATGTATAACATCCCCGACATGTGATTGAACGTAGTGCGATTTAAAGCGCGGTGGTCGTCACGCAGCGCGTGTTCGAATTTCATGTAAATAAACAATGTATTTTACAGCGTTGTATACGTCAATATGGACCCCATATCGAACAGGACACGGCGCGACTACCTTTAGAGCAACAGATAATATCCGAATCATTATATCTATATTATACAAGTTTGGACCTAACTGATATTCGTCTTCAGTATCAAAATGTATCTTTGGGTTGTTATTGTTTTGGGTTACATTAATGTTTTTTTATGTATGTTAAAAATTTTGACTTTTGTTTCAAATGTTATTCAAACGTTATTTGTGGAATTTGAATTGAGTACGGCTGCATTATTTCAACTTAAAACTGGTGTATACGACAAAACCAAAATTGTTTCTATGCTAAGTTGTGTCTGCTTTTTATACATATACTACAGAATTACGTTCTTTTCATGTCAGTCTGAGCATTTGGTTATGAGTCTGCATATTTTATTTAGTTAAGTCCATTTAACTTGACATGTAGGTACTCCAGTGGACCCTTTGTTATTTTTTGGTGAAAAACATTATTCTTGACTCCCAAAGGCGTCGATAATGAATATGTACACACTTACACAATTTCCCGAATGGATAATTTGACATTTTGGGTGAAAGATATGGCATTACATGTGTGTGTAGCACCCGGCGGCTCAGCATCATGTCATTCGATCGGCGAGACAGATGTACACACGATTTGTATCCTCATACTATTACTAGTCAGAGCACGAGCTGTTATTAGAATATAGTGAGTAGTTACTCTACTGACTGGCCATTCAATTGGATCTCGCTAGTTGTTGTTGAAATGCAACAGGTAATCTGGACAGCAACATAGGAATCAACAATCCCTCATATTCGGTTTCGTTTTTGCCGAGTGCGGCGAGTGCTCGAACTGAGACGTCTATGTTGTCGTGGAACTCTCGTAGAGCTGAAGCATTGTATTTGGGTAGCGGTTGAGTATATAACGCTTTCATGTGCGCGCTTATAACTGACTGAGTACGACCATACCGCTTCTCCAACAGTTCGTACGCCTTTTTGTAATTGGCGTCCGACATTTGAAATCCTTCGATAAGTTTTCTCGCACCATCTCTGACTAGCGATCAAAGATATGTGAACTTCTGAGTCTCAGTAATTGTGGTGTTTGAATTGATAGTATTCTTGAAACTGTCATTGAACTCGCTCCAAGTAAGCGGGTCGCCATGAAACGGTGTTATTTCTAGGCGCGGTAGTTGAACATTGTGTTGAGATAGGCCCCGTTGAGTTGTCCGGGATGGCGGATTTGGAGTTTGAACTTGATGTTATTCGAGCAACACGATTGAGAGCGTTTATCTTGTACTGGTCTGTTTCGGAAAATTCCTGGTCTGTTACATCGACAGTGTCCGTGATATTGGCATCAACGGTGACTAGTGCTTCCAGTCGTGTATCGACGGCCACTTTCCTGGTAGCGATGTCTTGATAAGCGATGTCCTTGTTTGGCGCTGCATCGTAATTAGTTAACGACTCTTCGAGGGGTTGTAAAACTGCTTCTAATTTGGCCCTTGCCCTGTCTTTTGTCTTGATTAATGCTTGTAATTTGGGTGGCATGTTGAAAACTTAAAGTATTACTCACAATAGTTGAAGATCTCTTGAGTTGTACAGGTTGAAAGTTCGTTGTCCTAATTGAAGAACACGTGTTGATTCAATTTCGCGGTCTTTTCGGAGCGGTCTCTTGCAATGTTGAGTGGTGATTCTTGGTCATGTAATAGCGAAATATTGAGTGAATCTTGATGTCCTGTAGAAATATATCCTGGTCTCGGCACCAGTTTGTGGCTGTGGGAATTCGGTTCGAATAAATCGCCACGTTTAATAAATCTCCACAGAACATACAGCAGACTCAAATGATCGAGTTCAAAAGAAAGTCGTAATGACTTCTTTATTCATGGGTAGAACGCTGAACATTTCAACCAGTAATTACATCAGTAGTACAAACTTCTGCATTAAAACTGTGAGTGCCCTTAATGAGGGGCAAATAGGTGAATAACTTGAAAAACTATGAACTAAATTAAAATGTGGACTCCATTGATGACCGCCATATCCATCGAGAGTAGGAATCATGGGTAACACTGCATAATAATTAGCATGTTTGAGGTCGATTCCATTGCTCATAGGGGGTAACTCTTAATGTACGAACACATGTAAACGATCTAACAGTGAAATAATAGGGTAATTTCCTCAGTTAATAGGGAAATATGAATAAACTAGAATAATCTAAACTGTTTATAAAGATAACACTAGATGAATAAATCTATCTAAAAGTAGAAATGTATTGATACATATTCTTATGCATTTAATTAATTAACAAACAAACACACATGTTGACCTGTGCCCCGACAAGAGTGTCTCGCACTCATTCATATCACTCTGCCTGGACCAGTGTCCAAGTTGTTACAATTCACTACCTTCTTAGAAGCATCAAATTTTACTGTGAAAATGAAAATTTTCCTTGGCGAGCGTTTGAAACGGATTGAAGCTATGAGCTGTCACTGAATAACAATACATGTAGTCAGATTCACCACAGACTGCCTGAAACCACTTCTGCTAAATGTGATTGGTCTAATATCACGAATTAAACTTTTGTTGGGCTTTCCTTTTATTGGGAAATTATACTTCAAAATAGCGGGGGTGGTGTCTTCACCTCCGCATGCGTCAGATGGCCATAGCGTGTCATTGTTTACAAACAAGCGTCTGCCCGTGAGCCTTTGCGTTTTTAGCGTGTTGTTATCGTCCCTTGGGACTCAATTCCCGCGCGTGCGCAGCTGGCGACCTTTCTGCTTTAACATATATGCAAATTAATCATTCACTCACTCACCCACTCAAAGATTTAATAATGAATCAGGGCAACAAGATACACAGTAATCTTGTCTAACTTCCTTTAATTCCACTCCACATAGAAAGTACATTTTACTCTAACAAGAATATTGATTTGAAAATTTAAGTAGCTATAAGTATTGCATCACAAAAATCGTGGTACAATTGATAAGACTTTGGATTTGGCATCAGAAGGATGTTGGTTCAAATCTTGGCGTGTGCCCAGAGTAAACATATACCTGGTAAGGTAGTGATTGCTAATGTATATGTTTAGCTCTGATGCCTGCTCCCAAGACAGTTGAATCGATTCATATAGCTAGGAGATAATGAAATAAAGAACTTATGAGCAACTCACTGAATATACAGCATTATCTAAATGCCTAAATAGCATTATTATTAAAATAAAACCATGAGGGCACTGTTCTCTATCAGTGCTTCCTGGCTCTCACATGATTGAGAAACAAAAATAGATATTTTGCAGTTTTTGGAAGATATTTGTAAATATTTTTTGCAATCAAATTACATTGCAGCTACTTACTACATTTTGGCAAAATTAAATATGGCAATTACCTACTGTTGCTATGGAAACTGACATGTTACAAAATTTGAAGTGCTATATACATAAAATCAATATTACAAAAATGTTATCAAGTTCTTCAAAATATACACATCAGTTTAGCCAATATTTTTTGGCTACAGCGAGTGAACTCATTTTGTGGAGACTGCCCTCTATGGTAAAGTGTATGAACAGCAAGAGGGCGCACTTTAAACATCAGACATGAAAATAAAAGAATTGTGGTTAAAATAAGCAAAAATTCCCATCTAACAGCAAAAGGCATCTGTTTGTGATGGTTTAATCTGTAATTTAAAAACATACAGATACCTACAAAATATTCATAAATTGAATTCTGATTTATATAATGTACTATCTTTGAAAATTACTCTTTTGGTACTTGTATTAAAATTAATTAGAAATAAATGCTATTACAGAAATGTGAATCACAATGTTCCTGGACGCTGTGATTCAGTATTTCAAACTACGATAATGCCATTAAGGAAAGATGGTAGGCAACAAATTAATTAATTTCCTGCACAAAACTCTAATGATAGTTTACAAATTACAGGGGTAAAAAATAAGAGATATCTTGTTTCCTTGGAAACAGGGATTTTAGTTTTTCTCCAAACTTAAGGTCTAAAACAGTGACCATTTTGGAGAGCTTTGTGTCTTTGTTAATTTTAATGACAGGTATTGAAATGAATTGATGTTAAAAGTTTACATGACCATTGTTATGAAAAATTCTGACATTGCAAGGTCTACTATCTCTCCTGTGCTATTTTGTATCAATACATGTAATATTGTGTGCCTCCCAACCTATATGTCTTGCGGCTGCACTAAAAAGGGTCAATATTTGACAATAAGTTCAAAATTATTAACTATTTGCACTTGGGTGAAGTTACCTTGAACCTAAAAAACACATTTCCCATCATTAAAACTGCTATTATGAATGATGGGTGCATAACAGTTAGTATAAGGTATTTATTATAACAATACCTCATTTGGTACAGCGGGGTAAAATAACACATAAAACTTCATTGTTGGCACTATTGTTCATTTTTAGGAAAGATTATGAAATGTTTGTCATTGCAGATCAGTGTTTTTTTCTTTCAAATTACATAAATAACATGGTAATAAAACTAAAAATATCAGTAATGACAAGATACTCTTTATTCTTGAACTTGTCTGAGGGCGCTGTTCATGCCATACAGTGAAAATACAGAAAAGTGTATATTTAACAGTGGTATTCTTTCCATCATTCATTTCTGGATTCATACCCAAACCCTCTATTTTAACATAAACCCCATTTAATAATACATTTTCTTTAAACTTTAGCTGATCTCTGTGTACGAATATATTCACCAAAAGTTGGACGGCTATGGTAGCAAACAGGCAGAGATCGAGATGTATCTCCATAGGTGTTTCCAAATCTGTATCGCATTTCTGTAAAAAAAAAAAACATAATAACTATTGAAGTTTGTGAAGTTATTTATGTAAGTAATTCACTCTTTTTCATTTAGCTTTGGTCGGTCCATGTTTTAAAAGTTCAATGTTGAGATAAAAATGATCTGTTAAGATTGCCATGTGCAGCTTAATCTTAAATCTACCGTACATGCCAATCCACAACATTTCATTGACAGTTTATTCACAAAAAATCTACAAATTTCTAAGACATTGATAAAACCGTAATTGTTCATACAAATATTAGAAATGTTGATACTTACGGGGTAAATATCCTGTATATTTTGGAACCATTCCATTTTGTTTGTAAAGTCTACGGCTATTGGCGTCAGGATGCTGACGTGGGAGTTCTACACCCGTCACACCCACTGCCTCGGCTTCATTCCTGTATGAAGTAGAATTGTTTTGACGTTTTAGTATTGAAGTATTTACTTTGCTCAATCACTGCGACAATATTATGAATACAACTTTATGATTCTAGACATCAAATTAGTTTGAAAGAATGAATGAATAAAAGGAAGTGGTACAATGCAATACTACTAAATAGACATAATAAATTCTGATGGCAAAATGATTTAATAACTGATAACACAATATATAGAGGATATCAAATGAGTAATATTTAATTAGAGTATTTATTAAACCCATGTGGTAATTTTCATATTTTTAAGCTTTTGATAATTAGTACATATGAATTAAATATAATATTACACACATATAAGCAACTCTCTGCTGTTTCACTTGGGTTTTAAACACAAAAACTGACAATAAAACTGAGTGTGAACATCATAAGCATCTAATAACATTCTATTCATTTGCATCCAGCAATGCCAATCTATAAATAAGCATTGCAGCCATTTTATCGGCTGCGATTAAACAAATAATTATTTCTTGGAACCATCAATGTATTTACTGTTATAGAGCCACAGTGACAACAATTTAACTATTGGCTAGTTTTATTAGCATCCTTCATTTTGTCTTAGCAGTAGTGGCGGTTCAGTACAGAAAATGAATTCCAAGGCGAAATTCATAAATTCGATTCAAAATTCTAATATGGAAAAATATTATATGGTTTTATGTTATGCCACTGCCATAATTATTTAAGTTTGCACTCTGCGATCACTCATTAGGCTTCATTTGGATCTTTCTTCTTTTTTTTATTTAAAGATATTTTTTATTGAGTCAAGTCTCTTAAAACTACATTTCGGTTTTACTTAAGAATCGCATGAAATACTTTTACATAGTCACAAATTGATCCCATTTAAGCATTAATGGCTTATGTGGATCTCCCAACAGAATTGTTTCATCAAATATTTCTAAACCCTGTTTGTTTTCCTCATCGCTCAACAAATTTCTCACAATACAAATGAACAAAAGAACAGCATATCATCAGGTGCATAATAGTTTCTGCTTCCCCTTTAAAGAATGTACACATTTTAGATGAGCAAATCGAGGGAAAATTTTATTTAGTTTTACTTCATTTGGATCATAGGAATATTATGTGACATATTTCATGGTATGATAGTAACAAATATTTCACTTCTTCTTTGTTCTGATTTACAATGGCTCACAGGAATTCAAAACAGAGTTGAATCTTTGTGAATATATGCATATCAGAACGATAATCAAAATTCTTGACAAATGTTTATTTTTCATTTTCCACAAATATAGAATATTAAATATTTCACATGAAAGTCTCAAGAATCCAATAAATTCACAGGAATGACCTTAGAGTGCAACTTTCATACTGTGTTTTAACTTTCTGATGATAACATACCTTGGGGGTATCACTGGTTTTCCAATCTTTGCCATGTGTCTTTGTGTTTCATGGTCAAACACTTCTAATGAGTCTTTGCATACAGTGTGGTAGCGCCCTCCCAGTCCTAACTCTGTCACTCCTTTCCTTGGTATGAACCCACGATAACCAGGCATTGGTGCTTCTGTTGGTGTTTTTCTACTTTCTGAAAACACAAAATAAAAGTGAAATGTTTCTCCTTCGGACTGAGAGAATACTATAAATATATTTGCAATAATAATAATAGTGATCAAGACACCTAATGTATCATTTAACATTGAGCCAACACTAAAAAAAATTGGCCAAATTCATCGTTTTTGTGTGGAAAAATCCCTTGCGAAACGAATACCTAATTACACAAGTTCACATTCCCGGGGTACAAGTATTTGAAACCGAAATCCTCATCTAACTGTAAGGTCATCACTGATTGGCTCCTGAGTTGGATAAGAAGTTTAGTTTCAAATACCGTTTGTATTGGTAAATTGATCACATTTATTTTATTATCATGTGTACGCCAGCTGTCTGTGTGTTCTAAATAACAAAATGCTACAACGAGTAAACTTAGTTGACTCTGAACAACACTGCTACAACACTCCACCCATCTACATTAATTTTATAGCATTAAAATATCTTTTTTTCTGATGCATTTACAATTTACTTTAATAATATTTTTTCTAAAACAAATATTAATGTATTTAAAAATGATTATTAATGATTTCTATAACAGACTTTCAATATTTTGTATATATTTATTCTAAACATTTATGAATATCTTGAACTAAATTTATACAAATACCCAGTATATTCCCACTTTACCAGTGTTACATGTAAACACTCGCCTAGAAAAATGTAAAATACTGTGTGTAAAATTGCTACCAAACACTACATACCTAGTAAAATTGGTGCTGTAGGATTCCTATCTCTGAAGTCATTCAGTCGTTTGATCACTCTATCATCATCTTTCGTGACAGCGTTCAGATTGGGATAGCCATTAACAGTTTGTTTAAGTTCATGAACGTTTGTTCCATGTTTTTTAGTATTTGTGAGGAAGTCGTCAATGCAGACATCACAATCTTCTTTGTATGTGCCACCAAACTTGAAAGGCATTCTGGGAATATAACCTGCGAATATAAAAATTACATAAAAATAAATTTGATTTCAAACTTTAATACAGACTTAGTTTATATGATTCCCAGAATATATAAGTGCCCACATCCTCAGGATGAGCTTTCAATTCAATGCAGTTACTTCTTCTATAGGAATTTATGAAAACAAAGTTTCAGTTTAAACTAATAATCATACAGTAAATGCATATACCAGGTATATACATGTATCTAGTACATTTGATTTGCAATAATTTGAAATAGCTTTCAACATATCATGATGTGTATTTCATATAAAAAATGACAACATACTGTAGAACCTAAAACTCAACTACATGGCTTAAATTTTAGCTGGTTTTTATTTTCAAATAAAAACTGACAAAACACTGTACAATTATCTACAGCACAACTACTGTACATGGCTTAAATTTTAGCTGTTTTTTATTTTCAAATAAAAACTGACAAAACACTGTACAATTATCTACAGCACAACTACTGTACATGGCTTAAATTTTAGCTGTTTTTTATTTTCAAATAAAAACTGACAAAACACTGTACAATTATCTACAGCACAACTACTGTACATGGCTTAAATTTTAGCTGGTTTTTATTTTCAAATAAAAACTGACAAAACACTGTACAATTATCTACAGCACAACTACTGTACATGGCTTAACATTTAGCTAGATTTTATTATCACTTAAGGTTAAGTGTGTCTGATTAACTTAGTGAATATTTAACAAATTTAACAACAGAGTATATTGTTTTTTCTCAAACCAGTGAATTTGAAACCTAGAGAATAACCAAGTAATCCACTATATTAATGCTATGAATTGTATTTATCTTTCTACATTACTATATACAGATAAATATCTTGTAGTGGTAATTACCCAATTTGTAGTGGGTTACATAGTAGTAAAATTACATGTATGAAAAGAGTGGTCAAACAGTTTTGTTCTATAGTATATGCTAATTTATGCTAATTAGACATAAAACCTAACCATGAGAGTTTTGTCTGCATGCTAACAGTGTTTGATGATCAGTAGAATTCCTTTCCTTAGTAATATCTTTTTAAATCAATATTTCTTTCACTGTTAAGATTTGGTGTTGTCTTGGTCCGAATTCATCATATTATATCACTGTGATCGAACAGGAACCGTTACTTTTCAAACACAATGATAAACAAAATATTGGTGGAAACAGTTGCCCACAAAGTGGGTGCAACATATATTAACATGTAACTTGTCTAGTCAATGCCTTGTAGTTTTGTTGATTACAAATAAATCAATTTGTGGTATGATCAAAAGAAACTAGAAGCATAAATGACATGTTTATTTGGACTGCTCATCCAACTCACTGCACAGTACTGAGGATTATAGCCAGAACTTTTGACATTCAGTGCAGGTCCGAACCCAGTTAACTTCTTCAATGAATTCTAATCCCTTAATCTCAAAAAAACAGAACCTACTGGGGTTAATAAAAACTATGTAAATCTCCATATAACTGTTGCTATTTACAACCATAAACAAAGAAAGTGTGGAATTCACAAGAATGAATGCAGATATTAACTTAAACAATACCTAAACTATCATTCCCTTGGCAAAAAAAAGACATTGGTATTGACTTGTTATTGCCAGTGAAATGAAATAAACTGTTAAAGAGAATGGACATTGAGAGAGTTGGGGTTTGAAAGTATTTTCAATAGACTTGGTTCACAATAATGCAATACTGTAAAATACTTTATTTTCGCTAGAATTAATTTTCGCTTTAAAGTGTTTTTGGGTGTTTTGTATGGAATTTATTTTCACTGGATTTCTGACGAGTTGAATGTGAAAAACAGGAAAAAAGGTATATTCGCTGGATTTTATTTACACTGAATCATTCCTGCAGCGAAAATAGCGGAAATTAATTCCAAGCTAAAATAAAGTATTTCACAGTACATCAACAACTGATATAGAAATTAGTGCATGATTTAACGAGGTATGAGTGTACGATTCTCGAACAATTTCCCATGTACAAAAACTTAATGGCCAATTAATGGACTGAACTAATGCTAAATAAACACAAGACTAATGTGATACCAAGTATAACTTTAATGACAAGAATAGGGTGCCTGTCTGTACTCAAGTATTCTTATTAATTTCTCAAGTGATATGAGCGAAGACAATTAACTGAATACCTATAAGTTGCAATTGACAGTTATAGAAATAGCACTATATAAGTGGTGTCAACAGACACAGTAGTTTGAAGTCACCACTCTCAAGGTCTTCTTGTGCCATACTTACTGAATACATTGATGCTATTGAATTAACAGTTGCTAGGGCAGGCTACTACAAAACATTAGCTTTGTTCTCCTGGGACATTAGTTATACACTGGTCAGTTAACAGCCCTCTAATGGATTAATGGTTTCTCAAAGACATCAGTTTACACTGTAATTGAATGTGGAGTGCCAGAAATTGGAAATTGTTGTTGCATTCTAGTTGTTGCAAAATTGTGGGTTTATAAGAAGGATTAGGATCAGAAAAACAAAAGAAGTTGTCAAAAATCAGTGTGAAACAATTTTTAAATATTCATTTTATTTTAAAATTGTCATTAAAATTTATTTTTGATTTTGATTTTTTAACAAACCTGTGATGCATATTCAGGGTTTTATATATTTATATATACTCAGAAAAGCAAGCTTAATAAATCTGATATCATGGGTTATGATATTCTATTTATCACATGTATGTATTACTAGCTGTCCTGCCAGAAGAAACTAACATCAGAATCATGTGTGTGTGTGCATTTTAAACTTCTCAATGTGTTCTATTCATTTGCATATGGGAATGCCGTTCTTCGAACTTAAGTGCTTCCAGTTTATTGGCTGTGATTAACACATCCACGGATAGCCTAAATAAATAGGGGAAATTAACGTCAACAGGCGATGCCACGAACCATTAATATACATATGATTATAGAGAGACAATATTGAAAACATTTTAACTAAATTGTGGGCCAGTTCGGCAAGCAGTAATGATGGAACAGTAGGGAAACAAATTACATGCATTGCCACGATAAGGTTGGAAGCATTAGAAAAGCAAAATTGTCAAATTCCACTTTAAAACAAAAATGAACATTAATGAATGTATTAAGTTATCAGATTGACCATATTTTACACTTATCACAAAACTAATTTGACTACTCACCAAACAAGTTATGTTTTGGAATTTTAGGAGGTGACTAGTTATTGATATCAAAATTGCATGCAAGAACCAATCAGATTTGTCACTTGGCGGGAGGGGGGGGGGATTACGGAAAAAATGATAAATGGCTTCATGTGACTGCTACACTTGATAAGTAAAGTTACATTCTATAATGACAAAGTAATTAAATACCAGGCTTTACTCATTCATGGAGAATTTGGTAAGAAATCTCAGATTATATAATTACTAATCCAAATGAGATATAAGCCATTCAAACATTTTTTCATAAAGGTTTTATTAAAAAACTATCAATCCCTACATGTAATGTAGCATCAGACTCGTGATCAATAGACCCAAGTTCAAATCCTACCTCAGGCTGCACACCAAAACGGGTTGACCCCATGGATGAGTGTGCCACTGACTCAATGAATGCACTAATAAATGTAACTTTGGGGGAACCTTGGTTCAGGTCCACAGGTGCTTGTGTTCGACCGAGCATGGTTGATGCCAGGATAGCGCATTAAATTGCCAAACATGAATATGACTTCTGTGGCAAGAATGCACTAATGTCAGCATTAGCACTTGCAGTTTGCACGTACAACAGTGACATTCAATGTCCAGAACTGTTGCCAGGCAAAAAAACATTTTTTTTTTTAAATAAGGATCATAGATATTTGATTAGTAACAAATAAATGAAAAACCTTCAATAGCAATTATTTCATAAATATAATTATATGTAAAAAACAGCCACGCTGGTATACTAGAACATAGTTATCTTATACAAATATATAATTACTGCATATAATATAAATACAAAGCAACAAAACAATCATAATTCCAACCCTTTACCTCAGTTACCATGGTAATGAGTGTTGTTTAGGTTAATGATTAAAGTTTCAGACATGAATCAGAGATGTAATGTTCGGCCCAACCATTGTGCTTTGGTATACATAAATGGATTTAGTCTGAGAGAATACTAAAACATAACATTCAGAGATGTAATGTTTGGCCCAACCTTAGTGCTTTGGTAAATAAATGGAGTTAGTCTGAGATAATACTAAAACATAACATTTTTCTTTCAATATTTTGAATTTAAATCTGAAATAATAAGACACTCGGGTCATAAGAGATGAATGTCAGACTTGGCTAGTCATCACCAACGAGATCCTTTATTCCTATGCTAGGAATGTGTACTACGAAAACAAAACAGTCTACAGTTGTTGAGTCAGTGAAACGCAGTGTTTTTCTTTCTCACCACAGGGTATATTGGCAAAGTACTGTGAGTACAAGCACATTTGTTGGCTTTGGCAATATTGATGTTGGCAAGGCACATGCAAGCTATACAGACACCGATCTGATCAATGCCTTATATTTATTTTTAATTTCCTTTATATCTACAAATCATTGTTTAACAAGGTGGTTCTTTAAATGACCCCAATAAATATGTATGAGCAATTCAACAAAGCAGCACTGATGTTGGCATAGCAACAAAGGTCATAGTACTACAACAAACCTGATCTGTTCAGTTCTTTTTTATTATATCGACTGGAGGTTTTATTTTATGTATGGATTTAGAGGCGAGGAATAAAATCAATATTTTCAAAATTTATTTTAAAGTGTTTTTAAACTAATTATTATTAATTATTGACATTAAATAAAATATAAATCGCACTGTGAAAATTCATGATTATTCATTAAGAACTCCACAAAACAATCCCAAATAAATGAAACAACAGCTTTAATTAAAACTATTTTAAGAATTTTTTTTTTAAATTGCAATTCTGTCACTACTTTTCACTCAAAGGCGGGGAAAAAGGAGTGGCAGGTAAATAATAGATACTTAAACCTTATTACCACACATGAACCTTAACAAACACCAAAGACATCACATAAATGCAGCACAAACAACAGGTCAAAGTTCACACCAAGATTTATTGGCTGTAACATTAACGATGAATTTGAAATTTTTTCATTGTATTAAATAGAAGTGTTGGTGCAAATAGGCAGCAGGAGATAAACATTAATTCAAAAGTTATCAACAAAATTTCTTAAGACAAAGACTTTATTTCTTTAAATATAATAAGTGAATCTGGACATACAGTTATGTAATCATTAACATACACCTATTGTACATCATTTATTTAAATGCTGCATTCATATCAAATTATGGTAAAAAAAAATTAATTGAGGTCGTGTAATTTGTTTTTATCTGGTTTCACACACACATAGATAGATAAAATAGTTAACAATATAACAAAGTTAAATTATTTCTAAAAAAATTTTGCTCATTAGTTGACTTCAAACACAAGCAGGGTTTCCTATATAGAGTGCTAGTAAACACCAAATCTGTTCTCAACATAAAACCCCTATAAACTAGCTATAGCTATTTACCAAGGCTGGCGATAAAAACCTAGCAACATAGATGCTCTTTTGTTCAGTTATCTAGTGGATGTAATTAAGGTTCACATACAAGTGCTCCTGTTGGTGTCAATGTTATACTCATTTCAGAGTGCAAGTAGTTGGACAACACCATGGACGCCTTGCAACTGGTGACTATATTCACAATCTTGCGGTTAACTGTCAGCTATTTACGATATGTAATACACTCAGCAGTCTAACAAATCAAGCTAAATTGACCTTTGACCTTGTGTGGGTTAAAAAATAAGTTGTCAATCCCTGGGATTGCACCAGTGAATTGTGGGACACCATGGAGTACTCGTATGTAGTTTACACTATTAATTTGTAAATTTGCTATGAGATTAGACTTAACTAGAGCCTGCCACTTCACACATCATATAATTTATTTGACTCAATATTTCAACAACATTTTGGAATATTATAATCAAGGTTAATTAGTCAATATGTATACCAAATAATTTACTTGACTGTTGCAACACTAAATGTAACCATAAATTTAAAGTCATTCATGCAAACAATGTACCAAATATATTTGTAATAAATTTGTAACTACAGTTGTGTAACTATTAGACATGTGTGATATAGTGACCCATGGAATGCCATGCCATCATATTAATATTAGTACAATATTAATATAATTTTAGATTTTGCTCTAGATTTTCTTTGTTAATTTTTTAAATGGATATCATTTCCCATTGACTACAAGTCAATATTACGTGGGTTTATTTTATGATAGTTCTAACTGGTTGATAAAGGCTGGCAAGAAGAAAAACAATTTTATTGATTGTTATTGACTGATTGTTATTCATATTTGTATTCATATTTTGGTGAAATGTGGTTTTCAGAGGCTGCTATAGGATACAAAACCAGATACAGGACAGACAAAACAAAAGGGATAATATAAGAACAGGAAAGCAATGAAGGGACAGAACGATAGTCTTGCAGGGGGGCTGTTTATAAATAATATTAAAAACATGATAGCTATAAAGGGACAAACCATTAGAGTTTTGCAGGGGGCTAAATAATATTACAACATGATAGCTATAAAGGGACAAACCAATAGAGTTTTTTGGAGGGGGGGGCTAAATAATATTACAACATGATAGCTATAAAGGAAAAATCAATAGAGTTTTGCAGGGGGCTAAATAATATTACAACATGATAGCTATAAAGGGACAAACCAATAGAGTTTTGTGGGGAGGACTAAATAATATTACAACATGATAGCTATAAAGGGAAAATCAATAGAGTTTTGCAGGGGGCTAAATAATATTACAACATGATAGCTATAAAGGGACAAACCAATAGAGTTTTGCAGGGGGCTAAATAATATTACAAACATGGTAGCTATAAAGGGACAAACCAATAGAGTTTTGCAGGGGGCTAAATAATATTACAAACATGGTAGCTATAAAGGAACAGGCCAATAAACTTTTGCAGAGGGTTAAATAATATTACAACATGATAGCTATAAAGGGAAAACCAATACAGTTTTGCAGGGGGCTAAATAATATTACAACATGATAGCTATAATGGGAAAACCAATAGAGTTTTGCAGGGGGCTAAATAATATTACAACATGATAGCTATAACGGGAAAACCAATAGAGTTTTGCAGGGGGCTAAATAATATTACAACATGATAGCTATAAAGGGACAAACCAATAGAGTTTTGCAGGGGGCTAAATAATATTACAACATGATAGCTATAAAGGAACAGGCCAATAAACTTTTGCAGAGGGTTAAATAATATTACAACATGATAGCTATAAAGGGACAAACCAATAGAGTTTTGTGGAGGGGGGGCTAAATAATATTACAACATGATAGCTATAAAAGGACAAACCAATAGAGTTTTGCAGGGGGCTAAATAATATTACAACATGATAGCTATAAAGGGACAAACCAATAGAGTTTTGGGGGGGACTAAATAATATTACAACATGATAGCTATAAAGGGAAAACCAATAGAGTTTTGCAGGGGGCTAAATAATATTACAACATGATAGCTATAACGGGACAGACGAAAACTATTTTGCAACCATTTTTTGATTCAAAATGGCAAGAATTTGTTACGCTTTTTTCTTTATGAAACATATTCCAAACTGAAATGTAAAATATACATTTATAGCGAAAAGTTACAGAATAATGTTAACATTGTAGATGATAGTCAAACCTTACCTGTATAGCCTGGAACCATACTCTCTGTAAGTTTATTATCACCAGTGGATGCTGGTAAATTATGTTTTGGAATCCTCTCTCGTACTTCGGCACCAGCTGATCCTGTTCCGACATATTTTGTGCTAGTTTCAAAATAATTATGCGGCCACGCTGCTGCAATTGGATGCCTATCTCTCTGCAAAAAACAAAAACAAAAAAAAACATGGTGAAGTCATTATTGTAAAACATATGAATTTAAATTGAATGTCTACATGAATTCTATCAATTGAAGGATGGTAGTCATTGTGCAACACATGTGTGAGATTTAAGTTGATCAACATTGATTTCAACACAATTCAATGTCCACTCCTAGCGGCATACACACGTGTTTTATATGCAATGTGCGCAAAATACCTTCTTTGATTCATTTTTATTCATTTATGTGTTGCAATCATACCAGGAATTATCTAGTTAAATCTTGATAATATATATTTATTAATATTATTTATGTACCTGCTAGTAAAAGTTTAAAAATCAACAAAAACAAGGGGTGCTTCATGCTTTATTTGTGGAATAGTTGGAATTGACAAAACTGTAAACTGAGTTGACATGTGTACACGTATTTTATTGTGACTGATTTGTCTTAAATTTCAGATAACACAGGGCAAACAAGGATTTTTATTGGACTGGATTTTTGCAGCTTCATTAAAATTGCAAAAATAAAGTATTCTAATTCTACTGTCAGACTTTAATGCATTTTGCCGATTTCAAAATGGCCACCAGTAATGCAGACCAAGAGTAATAAAAAAAACAGAATTCAAACAAAATTATAAAATTGCCACTCATGACGTACATCACCTTATCTTGAATTGAGCAAATTTGTTGACAACCCTGTTTTTAATTTAATTTTAAGGCAACGTTATCAACCATGATATGGTTACTATTGGAAATAATTTTATAGAGATAATTCTAAAGCCCACCAAATCCTGTGTTTGTAGATTCTAAATAAATATATGTTTTACAATATAAAATTGTCTTTTTATTAATCATATGCAGCTTTGTGACAATACATATAAATTTATCACCAAAATAGTTGTTACGTATTAATATAAGAACATGTAGAATGGTCTATTTTCAAACTTTTCATTATGCATACTCACGCAATACAATTTAGGATTGTAATAATAACAATAATAGTCTTAATTGAAGTCCTTTCCTAAAAATGGACATAGATCTAAGTACAATAAAGCATGGCTGTCATTCCATGTTAGAAACATTCAGAATAAAAAAAAAAGATACACTTGTATATATTTCTAGAAATCAAAGAAAAAGTTGTGTTTTTTGGCGAAGTGTGTGTGAAAAAAAGAATCTTTTGGGGAAAATAATCCAGGAAATATTTTTCTGTGCAAGTAGTCTGTGGCAAAAAACCTTAAATGCCACAATGCAACATCAAATAAAGTATAGATAAAACAATTTTTCACCACTTCTGAAAGGCATCCAGTAATGGTCAAAAGGTTAAATGTATATTAGGCATGGGAATGTTGTTGCAATTAAGTGATGTTTTATGCTGATTGGTCCACTTAACTCTATCCGGATTTACATGCATTAATAGCATCTTACACAAGTACAGTAATACATCATGTAGGTACAATGTAATGCAGTACAAAATCCATATAGCATACAATACAAGAACCCTGAGCATGCTGATACATTGTAACACAATGTGTATGTATATATTCAGATAAGGTCATTAATATGCACAGATTGATACAAAAACAAATCAAAACCTGTCACTAGCCTAACACATGATGATTATATTTTATAGTTATTGGGTAAGTCTGTTCAGACACAGGGTAAACCTTTTTAACCCATTGCCTACTGGAGATTTTTTATACAATAGACATTGACAATCTGTGACTATCTGGGAAAGCTTTTAGCAGTTTAAGTGCTAAAGTTAATTAAGACACTACAACCAAAATATTTTGTACCAAAAATCAATCACAGCTTGTACTTGTACCAGATTCTTAAATGTAGATTTGTCCACATTTTGATACAGACACCACTAAAACATAGTCTTCTGTTTTGTACTGCACTACATTTAGAAATAGAATTTTCACATTTAACAAGAAATTACATAGAGGAAGAACCGAAGACTGATCTTTATTACATTTTTCATTTTTGAATATTATTTAAAAAATATTCACAGAATGTTGTCTCTATATAGAGACTAATTCTGACATTTCAAAAATCCTGACAATCACAAACCATGACAAATCCTAATCCTCACTACCAGTACTTTCCTTCAAATCACAGGGATAGAGGGGATATCAATCACCATGTCTCCTTATTTCCGCATGATTGGAAAGAGGATGCAATGTTTTCATGTATATATTCCGATTTCTAAGAGTGTTGTGCCTTTGTGTTGACAGACGCCAGTGGCACTCCGTTAACCAAATAGATACACAACAGGCGAAACTATGAGAAAAACAACGCAAGCTCTCACGTAACAGTTGAATAGTGACAATACAAGAGATTTCGGACCTCTTTGGTCACACAGCAACACACAGTCATACTGGTAACAAGTGCAGCAGTCAATTTACCAAGGCCAACTCTTTCAATGTACTGCACGACAGACATTCATGGCTTCTGAGCAACCGGGGATATATGAGTGGGGAGGGGAGAATAAAAATGATCACAGTGTTCGTGATAAAAGTATGGCTTCCACAGTCCAGTGCTTCATCAAAGTTACGAAAAGAAATTAAACGCACGTTACGTTTTCGGTTGGTGTCAATGTTATACGCCCAACAAAACAATAAATACTGCTCAGATACTAGCGGATTAAAAGATTTGGCATAATCGCGGAAATTAAGCGATAAAAAACGACCTCCGCACGTCTGTAGGCGGCGAAACCGCTACAGTAATCCGTCTGCAAACACAACGACGTTATTCCACAAACAATAGAAATAATTTTGGTGAAAACATACATCATTCTCGGGTCAAATGAGGTTTTGGGTATCCAAACTTATGTTTTCTGTGTTCATTATGGGCAACTTGATACCCGGTGCTGTTTCTAAATTTGACCGAATGACTGCGTTTTATGTATGCCTCACCGACACGCAAAACAACAACTGAAAACGATCTACATTCATTCTCAAACAAGCAAAACTGACATTTCGCAGCAGGTAGGAAATTGAGACCACCCCTTCAAAATAACGTGTTATATTTGTTTCTGCCTCTCCACGTTAATCCCACAACACACAAGCAACACCCACGGCAGTTATAAACAGCGATTTCCCTCAGAAAAGCTCAGATACGACGCGGAATGGGTCTTACTGTCGTACATGTCCACGCCATATTTTCTTTGAACAGAGTGAATGAATTACAATTACCGCAATAAACGCGTCTATGCTTTAAAAATGCACTAACTACCGAGGATACTGGTTAATGAATCTGAACAATACATACGATACATAACTCAATTGAACCGTTTACCCAAACTCAGTCAGTCCACTGGACGGCGTAATGGGAAAGAAATATGCAGTTGAAAATGGCGTTTGGCAACATTGAGTGAATTTATAAACAACACATACCTGTGAAAGCTTGTTTGTAGCGTTCCCATATGTATCACCAATGTGGTATTTATACTGTTCGATATATCCACGATAACTGCGAGAAACAGAAACAAGTAATAATGATTAAACTGCGTAAACTCTTCTCGTAATAAGCCACGGTCATTTTCTGGCCGTGCACTGTTACCGAGGGCGGAAGTCACGGCAAGTTACTTTAATGGCCATACTACACACTGTACTATATAAGCGAATTTATCGGCACTCACCCTGGCAGTTGTGTTCCCGGTTTCAACGCACAGAACTCCCTCCGCCTGTCCACGTTCCACATCGTGGAATTGGGTAAATCTGCGTTCATCATTTTGGAAGGCTCACAATGGCGCGGTCAAAGTCTCCGCCGAAAAAATAACCCTGTCAATGGGATCAGCACTGTATCATATGATGAACAATGTTGTTGTAGTACTTGCCAACGCGAGCTCGTTTTACCGACAGCGAGACTGGTTGTCAGGGTCACGTTGTTAGCAACCCAGATCAATGAATAATTCATTAGCCTGTGATCAATTAGCCGCGTTGGGGCGTGGCCAATGCACCGATTATAACACGATTATACACTGGTATAATATAATTCCGCGGCTATTCACAGCATACACACTTATTGTGGTCACGAGAAAGAATGGAACGGCAATATTGCAGTATGAGACTCTGCTAACAGAATAGCTACATTACACAAAGTGTTGCCACAGACAGCAATAGCAACACTGTGAGCAAAATAGTAATATCAGTGTGTCGCACTGCAATATTGTCGTTCCATTATTTATTGCCAGTAGATTACAGTCGAATTCAATAGCCTGGAATCTACCAAATTTAATATGAATCAACATTTCAAACATGCAAGGATATTGTTAAATTATTGAAACGAAGAATGTTTGAAAATGTACAGAGTTACTATCTTGGGCAGTTTATTCACAAATTACTTAAGTTTAAACGGTGTGGTTTTATTTTAGTGTTGCGGACTACAACCCCAATAATTAAACTATTCTCCACACACACACAAATAAGATAAACATCCATTTACCATTGGTTCTGATGCAATCTGATAACAATCCCAGTGACTTTTTATATTCTTACTTTGGTTGATTTTTTTTTTATTTTAACTATTACTACATACTGTATGGGCTCTTGGAATTAATATATTTGAGAAGAAAAAATTAATAAAAAAAATAAAATTAAAATAACAAAAAATGAGGACTAGGACTTTGGTTCCTATGGTGACCAGAAATTTGTTATATTTGGTGCCAAAAAATGAGAATGGCAGATTTATCTTCATTTCTGTATTACATGCATACATGAACAAATAAATCACTTTCACCTGGATACTGAAGTACTATATCTCCAAAAATGATAACATTTTCGTAAGCTAGTATCATTTTACATTTCTCCAGTCTGTCATTGGTGGCGCTGTTTATAAAAGTTTGTACAACAAGTGCAAGAACGCAATTTCTAAGATGACTAAATACAAAATGGTCACCTTGGAATGGATCATAAAACAAATGCATGTATATACGTGTTCCAATATGTTAGATGCGTGTGACACGATCAAGTCAAGCATTTCCGTAATGCAAGTGTGGACAGACTGATGCACTGAGCCTCTAAACCCACTACGGATAGCCAAAAAAACAAACATCAGCAGTTACTTGAAAGAGAAATGCGAAAAAATAAATTCACAGCTACATTATCGTGAAAAAAAATATAGCCTTGAAAACTGTGTGAAGAAAAAGATGCACAGAAGTTTATAACGTGCCTCCTCCAGTGTATTCATTAGATCATATATATATCATGATATATACAACATTAAAATATATCTATAACGTAACAAAAATACCCGACATCAAATAATCACTATTGCATAGTAAAATTTCATCATACCCCCAACTGACCTGACGGCCATTGATTTAAAGGCAGCAGTCGTCGTGCCGCGTCCTGTTCGATATGGGACTCATAGCGACGTGTATACAACGCGTGTAAAATACATTGTTTATTTACACGAAATTCGAACACGCATTGCGCGATGACCACCGTGCTTTTAAGCATTCATTGTTTTGCCGTACAAATTATTAGCTAGCCTACCTTCTGAAACAATTCCCTCTTTTCTGTCAAAAACTCGGGTTCCTCACGCGACACGAACTGCTTCATATGTTCGTGTGTTTGTTTGTTTTTTCTGGAGAGATGGAAAATCAGAAAAACGAAACGTTGAACTTGAAATAAACACCAATTTCCTAGTCGTATTGTTTTTGGATTCGCTGTTATTCTACTTGCATTCACTATGAAAAATGTTTGTTTTGTTAACAGAAACGATATTATCATTTTAATGTTTGCAGTGCATAAACTACCCGATACAAATACATTTAACTTCAGATAACTCGAATGTTGCGAACTGCAATATTGCCAATATTCTTTGGTTCCAGGCGTCCTTTGCGAATGGCCCGGAGGACGCAGGTAACAAGCAACAAGAAAGTGATGAACCAATCAGAATGCCGGATTCGTTACTAGTTACCGGCATCTTGAGGCGGGAACCAGCCAAACGAAAGGAGATGATCTTCACACAATCTATCGCTGGTGGCGCTTCAACAAAATCAGCTGCTTGCAAAGGCTAAAACAACCAACGGGGAGGGTTGAAATAAAACCGAAGTAGAAGCTTATCCGAAATTCTTCAGAATGTTCAACAGTGAAGATTAAGTCAAATGTTAAACCATATATCAGGAGAATACAACAAAGCCTCTTTATGTTTAACTTATTTTTAAAAACGATTAAAAACAAAAAGTACCCCGGTTTTCAAACTTTTCCACAAAAAACGATTTTGTCCCTTCAGAGTTTCACAGCCTGCTGCACACTGACTGAAAAACAAATTTATTTTCCTTAGAGTAATTTACAGTTCAACACAGCATATCAGATATTTAAATATGAATTCAAGAAAAGACATACAATACACAAAGCTGGTGAATATTTAATATCAGAAATAGCAATGACTGACATTTTACTTTAGTATTATATCACTAACATTTTATGGCTGTCAACTGAAGGAATCTATTTTTAAGGATGCAATAAATTCATTAATACATGTTTGTCCAGATAAAAGGATCCAGTCACTGTGACAAAATATAGCTGTATAATGCATTAGTACGATGCACATGTCAATAACTGAATTTTGTTGATGGCTCATTATACTTCATATAGACTAAACAGTCTATGGTTAGCAACTCAATAAAATATCACAGATGAAACAATCATACCAGGAAATTCAAAAGATGTGTTATTTATTACGAAATATTAAATATATTTAAAAATGAACCAAAGCCTGATGTCAGTCTGTAGGTTATCCCAAATTACACAAGTATCAAATTTCACCGAGACCTTATACAATGTAGGTAGTTCTACAAATGTACAAAGCCACAAAATAAAATTGTTTCCTGTATTACACAAATGAGAATGATACTTCGACATTTATTTTTTTGTAGCAGAGGGTGGATGTATTCAACCAAAATAACGAACATAATTATAGACAAGCAGCCTATCGGCTGAGATAGCTCCGCTGTTAGCAATGCACATTTCAATTAAAGAACTGAAGACATCATTAGAAAATGAACAATATGAATAGTATCAAAGCAATCGGACTTACAGTTTTTAACAAGAAGTCGAAAATATCACTTTTTACCAAAAATTACAAAAATATTCACCAAAATAAATTAATTAGAGAATTGAAGATATCATCACAAAATGAACAAATCTGAGAGAGGTCCACATGTAGTACCTATATATGTAATATCAAAGCAATCGGACTTACAGTTTTCAACAAGAAGTCGAAAATATCACTTTTTACCAAAAATGACAAAAATATTCACCAAAATTAGAGAATTGAAGATATCATCACAAAATGAACAAATCTGAGAGAGGTCCACATGTAGTACCTATATATGTAATATCAAAGCAATTGGACTTGCGGTTTTTAACAAGAAGTCAAAAATATCAACTTTTTACC